TTGAAAGATGAAAGACAGATAGAAAAAAAGAGATAGAAAGAGGAAGCGAGAAATATACAACAAAGAGAAACAAACTGATAAAGAGAAAAAGAAATAAATCGAAGTAACCAGAAAAAATGGTCTATGAACCCTTAGCTACCAAGGGATAGCCGAAGAAGTTGCGAACGACAATGCGCGTGTCTTAATGGAGACAAATAATAGAGGTAGAGAACCGACAGGGACGGCAGACCTACTTTCGAATCGACGGGTCTTGAGAACTAGCAACACTTGATAAATCTTGGCAATACTTCGCAAAACCAAGCATCACCTATCAAAAGCTAGCAAAACTTCGCAACACCTATAGCAACAGTTTAGCCAAGCCGCGACAAGCTGCAGCAGATCACACTGCACTGAGACCTAGCCTCGCACGACTTCTGGGCGAGCTGTGTACATCTTTCCTCGCTTTATTGTACTTCAGGTGGTATATATGAGCAATGTTGAGAATATTATGGTAACCTAAAATATACCACGCGACCTGCCCGCTTGCACTGTCGTGATTGCTGTGATTCCTAACGTTCCGCGTACGAACGATATCCTTCCCTCGTGACGATTCATGACAGCGATAAGCACATGCAACGATTATCGCTCGTTTGCCGCCAGCGAAACCTGCGTCATTGCACAGCCACCTCCACCATCGATGTCCTGCCGAGGCAGCTCAGCCGGCCAAGTGCCAGTCTTTTGCACAGGGAACGTTAGAGAGCACTGTAATCACGGCGTGCAAGCGGGCATGTCACGTAATATTTTCTTAGTATTTTATGGAATGTTTAGTGGGCGAGGAAGTTGTAATAAGTAACACACACATTATATATATATATATATATAAACTGTTCAATCAGATGTTTTCGAATCCAACAATTTTCTGCTTAGAATTTCTGGCTATTTTTGTTTCAGCAGTTAGTTAAACATGCCTAATCAGGCATTCGAGCGAAAAACAAAAATTAGCTTAGCTAACTCTATACATTAGTAAGCAACATGCATTGCCGTCGAAGAGTGCGTCGACATATCTTTTAACTCGGGCTAGAGATGACTCCATCACCATCTATACTTTTGGAACGGACGGTTTCGCGATGTTCTTTTTATCCAATACGGAAGGTATCAGATATGAAAGGCACATGAAGCATGGTTGCCGTAGCCATCAACCATAAATCTAGGGCCAATATTATAATGTTGATAATTGAAAAAATAGTCTTAATTGCCAGGAACTAATTACTTCCTCATTGAGCCAGTGATGCTCCGCGAAGCACCTGCTTTAAGAAGCTTCCGGACAAGGCTCACATCACTTGAAACGTTCGAGAACTAATAACCTATCCGAAGAAGCCGACACATCATAAACTGCAAGCGATACTCATAGCGAGACAGAAAGCTCATTATTGAAAAGCAGAGTGATTACTCCGCGTATATTCGGTTACACGCTGATCTGCCGGAAATGAGACGGCGAGGAAAAAGGTTCCCGAAAATTTTCAAGTTTCTCTTGAGTATTCGTGTTTTTTTTTGTCTTTTTGCATTACACTTAAAAAATGTCAAACCATGCTTGCTCAACTAGTCGGTTGTCTTGCCCTAGGAAAATCTGGACCCTCACTGCTAAAAAAAAAGGAACAAAAAAGAACATCCTGGTCATGTGATTTATCCGCACAGTATCCTGAGTGAAGCACGTGGGTTAATGTCGGCGCATAATTAAAAATACTAAACAAGCATTTATTAAGGTGGTATTTCCACGAAAAACAACTGTGGCTGCATCTTTTTAGGTGCGGAGCACTCCATAAAGCCGCATTGTCTATGCTGTCGTTTTCGATTGGCGTAACGCAGGCAAAACCAAATATTTTTTTAGTCCGAGTTTTAACTGTTATGCCTGCGAGTCCACATCGAACGTCCGTGCCTCTGAAAAAGGCAATCTGTGTCAAGGCCAGCACGCGAGCCCGCCTGACGCGAACAACTCAACGGCGTCATCACGCGGCGGCGCCGATCTGTCGCGCGACGCACAGCGAGCCACCTCAGCCCACGAGCCCGTTGCAGCAATAGGCGCCTTCCTGACTGGCGAGTCTTACGCAATGCGTGGCGACGTCACTCGACCTTGGGTGCAGCCACGTGCAGCGGCTCTGTATTTGACGAGTATGACGCGGCCCAGCGGCGACCCCATTGGAGGATTATGACCTCACGACCAGCGGCGCTTCTGGTTGGACATTTAGTTACTCAAGGAATCCACCCAGTGCATATAAAAAAAAAAAGCCCTGTGGCGCGTCGCGAGCAGTTGACTTGTGTGTCAGAGAAGAGAGCTCGGCTCTTCGAGTCTCTAAACTGTCGGCCCCAGTGCCGAATTTGTAACTCCTCTATTTCTTTGCTGTACATAAACCTTGTTAACTCACCATCGTATCGTTCACTCGTCTATCAGCTCTGCGCAAAAGCAGTCGCGAGCTGCGAAACCTACGCTAACAAACGGCTGGTGACCTTCCCGGCGGAGTTCGAAGCAGTGGCGCCTTCGGGACCGAGTTGGCATCGCCGTTTTCGTAACAGTCGTGGCAGCGGCGAGATTCGTGGCGCCCTTCGTAACGTCGTCGGAGGTGCGCTTCGTAACACTGTACACACACTGTAAAGAAGTCGAGCTTTGACGCTGTTACAGTGTGCGAACTACGTGCACCAGTTGCTTGACAGGGGAATAAGCAGCATAAATGCAATGGAAAACAATGAAGTCGAGAGGAGATAAGTAGTTTGAGAGAAAGCGAAACAAGATGAAATGACGGGTGTGGAGTGAAATGAACGATAGGGCATTACTTTTCAATTTTCATAGACTGATGCACAGACACACTCAAAAAAAAAGGGAGAGAGCAAGCTGGCAACTGCCACCTGGAGGGACACAACGCCTGCTTACTCTTTCGGGGGGAGAGAGAGAGAGAGAAAGAAGAGGCGAAGGAAATAAAAAAGTCACAGCTTTGCAGCAAAGGCGAAGCAATGAACACCACAGCAACAAATTGGAAGGTCACGCGCTGAATGGCCAGCAGATCGAAACGTGCTACGCGTTTCCCACGCACAAAGGACGCACGAAACGTGCTCACAGGTACAGATTAACGCAAATAAGCGTCTCAGTAGTTAGTTCGCTGTGTCTTAAGTGCCCTTTTCGCAAACGAAGGCTGTGCAACGATTGCAGTGACTTTTGTGCGCCCGGTAACTATAACAGAATTGTTCCGACGAAACTCAAAGGTTAGCAAAACGTACGATTGTCCCCACTGCAAGATAAGGGCGCGCGATCGAGCGTACACCTCTTATTCTCTACGCGGATCAAAGTACGCGCGAGAGATGAGAGCCGCCACGCGTTCGCTGCGCCGTCTTGCTGATAATGCTGCAAATTCTATAGACCGCCCTCCTTTCCCCCCCCCCCCCCGAAATGCCTGCCAACAACGGTAAGTGGTGGATATGATTAGCTTGCCGTTTGAACGTTGAAGGAGGTACCTATGCAAGACAATAAAGAAAAGAAATCCTCTCCGTGGCTCAGGTGGTTAACGCCACGCATTCACGGCGCGGCGGTCCCACGTTCGATTCCGCGCACCGAAGCCTATTTTTCTGGAATCTTTTTTCTTGCATTTTTATATATACTCATAGGTATACGTACACGGTGCATGACATCGACGTCCACGACGACGTTCGCGGCGAAATACAGCCGAGATGATGTCCAGATAATCACTATGGCGATAAAAGAAGTGACGAATCATTCGACAAGCATACGTTAACATGAAACAAAAAAAAAGTCTATCAACTGGTGGCCAAGTTCGTTTGCTCCATGATTATCCGTAGAGCTCGATGAGCCCGGTGATGTTGAGAAGCACAACCTATCAGAAAGAGGTGATCGCCTATGGTCGCGCACTTAAATCTCATGAATATATATTCCTTAATCTGCAAAGCCCACTGCGTAGCAAATGCGCCACTATAAGATGCCGAAGTGTTTCACAGGAGCCACAAGCTGGGCATAACAGACTATCAACACGGCTTTGCCGGTATAAGCGTTCGCGCCCCAACACAGAGCCGACTCTTGGTTTATATAACAATGCTCTGAAACGACGTGTCAAACCAGGGCCACGAACACGGTAAGGCATGAACAAACGGAATCGAAGTAAACTCGTTCAAAGTTTTTTTTTTCTGAAACAAAAAGTTAGCCGCTTCAACGCTTATCTAACAAAAAGCTTGTCGAACTGTCGACTAGGCTGCACTGCAACCAAATTTAAGGTTTTAATGGAGATGATACAATTCCAGGACCTTCAAGGGCTTTGAAAATGTATGTTCAATTCAAGGGTTTTTAAGGTTTTCGAGGTCCTATATGAACCCTCGAACTTACAAGGCCAACAATTGAGAGGACTCCCAAGTTCATATTTCCCACCTGAGTTACTTTCGATACGTTGCTCAACATTGCTACCGCATCAATATGCAGCCGCAATGGTCGGGAATCAAGCCCGAACCATCCTCTCGCCAGCCCACATGCACACCCGAAGAGCCTAGCTCTCCTCTCTAACACATAGGTCTACTGCTCGCGACGCGCCGCAGGGCTTTTTTTATATGCACCAGGTGGATTCTTTGAGTAACCAAATGTCCAACCAGAAGCGCCACTGGTCGTGAGGTCAGAATCCTCCAATGGGGTCGCCGCTGGGCCGCGTCATTCTCGTCGAATCTGGAGCCGCTGCGCTGCACGTGGCTGCACCCAAGAACGAGTGACGTCGCCTCGCATTGCGTCAGACTCGCCAGACAGGAAGGCGCCGATTGCTTCGACGGGCTTGCTAGCTGAGGTGACTCACTGTGCGTGCGCAGCAGAAAGGCACCACCGCGTGATTGCGCCGTTGAGATGTTCGCGTCAGGCGGGCTCGCGTGCTGGCCTTGACACAGATTGCCTTTTTCAGAGGCATGGACGTTCGATGTGGACTCGCAGGCATAACAACACCAACACTTTCACGTATCATGCGGAGAAGGCAAAGAAAAAATTTGGGAGACAATATTTTATTGTAAAAGCACTTCAAAATTGCGAGCATGTCCATAAAACGACTCGGCTTCTTGGTGTGCCAATAAATGATTGATAAAGGCACTGCCTGATGTTAGTTGATAAAAAACACACGAAAAAATATCTTCGCACACGCTATGTTGATGATGTGCATAAAACGGCCGCAAGATAATGAGTTATACAGCATCCTGATGTGTGACTTTGTCTTCAAGCTCCAGCTCCTAATCCTCTTCATCGCTGCTGATGACAGCTCTTCTGACCTTGGCTGGTTTGCTAGCGGTAGGTCGGTCTGAAAGTAAAAAAAAAAAAACTGCTCTAGAACGCGATATAGCACGGCAATGGCACACGAAAAGGCACTAACAAAACAAATTCTGGCTTCAATTAAGCAGTATCATTTCACTCCAGGCACTTATTGCCGTCGCCGTCACCGTAACGTTCTGTTTAAAGTCGAAGTTCCGACATCACCATATGTACTATGTGCTAATGAACGCGTGCGAAAGAAGCCTATCACATAGGTACAAAGGAAACATAGTTGTGATGCAGTAGTAAAAGTTATAACAGTGCTCCACTTCCGTGTTTTTTTTTTTCGGGAACCTTCGGCGTTAGACACCAAAAAACGAAAAATAAGAACACGGGATTACACAAACATCGCCGCCAACCAATCGTTACGCCACCTACCTGTTCAGTTCCGCGGCGCGAAACGAATGGAATGCTGAGAGTTACTCAAAACGCGCTACGCTCCCTTGTTTTCGTCCATTTCGCCAGCCGATACAAAGCGCCAACCAAACAGCGACTGCGGCTGAACGTTTTTGCAAAATAGACATGCGAAAGAGAGATAATCGCATGCGCACTTCAGCAACGCACGCGATAAAAAAAGCAAAACAGCGCTAGCTATCTTTCGTTCGATACTGGTTTCACCCGCCAACAGAATTCGATGTTCGAGTACTGGTTGTTCTCGAATGCGCGAATAGGCGCGCCTTCTCGCAAAACACGCCACTGCATCACTACATTCCACGAACGATTTCTGTTCAGAAAGATCGACGGCGAGCCAAAATACGCGTCGATTTTTCGTTGGCGTAGTATCGACGCAGCTACCAACACTTGAGGACGTTACGCAGAGCAAAACGGTCACGCCGCTCTTTAGTCCTCACCGGCCACGTTCTGAATAGACTCGCTCAACGTTCAGCAGTGATCTAGGACTCAGCGTGCGCAAGTGGAAATGTCCTAATACGCGTAAAAAAGTTGTCGCCGCGTGTATTTTGATTGAATGAACTCTTTCTGGTGAGGTCAGCCTTGTAGAAACGGCCCTCTAATCGGGCATGAATCAGTCAGCAGAGATTCAGCGACTACAGCGGCTGTCTCCTAGTTTGAGCACTGCAAACAGTCAAACGCGTTGCATAGGTCACTCGCAGTGAAATCATGTCTGGAAAGGTTATAAAACGGTTCGGTGGCAAAGGAACAGCAATTCAAAACAAAAAATACGTGCACCCTTCTCGTGAAAAAAGCGTATTTTTTATCAAGATTAAAAAATGCAAAAAAAAAATTCCTAAGGCCTCTCATGCTCTCTGCATATTTGCGCAGCGCAAGATGAACGAGATCAGATGAAATGACCCAATGCCCGCACTTTTTTCAACTAAACTTTATTACCGAAAACACTAGAAATATACGCGGTAACAGCAGCACACATAAACACGGGTTTCCCAGCGTCTTCGTTAATACAATTTAGTAGAAGGCAGAGCCCGCGTTGGCTTCTTTATCTGTTCTCGTTTATTTTGCGCTGCCCAAGCATATCGGTTATATATAGCCGATCAGCCCAAGCTACCGTTCTTTCAAGCATTCTCCTGACACTACTAAAAGGCGAAGGCCACTTAAAAAGAATTATTCTCAGTCGATTGTACTGATCGTCCTCCTCCATGCATAGCGATGATTAATGAGAACCAGTGCATGCAGTACGCGATTAAATACAGAATAGGTCAGCACGCCAGAGCTTACCAATGACAAGTCTCAGAAGAATAACCCCCCAAACAAGAAAACGTGCCACTCACTGGAGGCGTCGTCGGCGTCACTCCCGCTACCTCCGTCCTCAACAACAGCCGGCGATTCCTTCCTGCTTTCAAGCGGAGTCACTCGCGAGCCGTCGAAACTGTCGGATCCAGTTAGACTCCCGGAACTCCGCCTTCTCCTCCTGTCACTCAGACCACTTTCACCGTCCAGATCGATGACGTCTCTCGAGGCGTCGTTAGAGACGGCGTCACCGTTTTCAACGCCCCTGTCAGTGACGACACCGGACGAGTTGACCACGACGTCTTCGTCGTCGCTATCGTCGAGTACGACAAGGCGGCCACCCTTGGCGGCCCTGCCAGCTCGAGATGCCGTTTCGTCGTCGGCGATGACGAGCTGCCTCGGTGTCTTCTTCGGAGTCGACGCCCACCAGTTCGGCACGCTTGGACGATTCTCGTTCTTCGTCGCTGTCCACCACCAGCGTTGCTCGTTTCCGCTTCCTGATTGGTTCGGCCATGGCCGAAGGTGAAGGAGGCGTTCTTCCTCCGTCGCCATTTTCGGAAGCCGTCTCTGCGGGCAAGCTGGCTAGAAGCTCGTCCCCGCTTTTGCCACTGTCGGAACGGTGTTCCGCGGTTCCGGTTGTACCACTTCTTTCGGCCTCCCTGGTGTCCCGGGTGCGAGGCCTTTTCCGCTTCCGTTGGTCCCTGCGGGCGAAGCCCACCTCGTCGGAGTCCGTGCCGGACGAGCTGAGAAAACAGTGAATAGGACAGGATTGTTTTTAGACCACATTCTTAATAAACTTATAGCAGAGATATTAATTTATACAGCAGATCTATTAAGCTCCGCAGTCAAAAAAGAAAGAAAGAAAGCGATGAAAAGGCACAGGCTAGGTGTTTATGCGTGTGTTATGGCTAGGCATTATGCGCACAGCAACAAACAGCTGCTAAGTGCAGAGTAAATACACAGTGCGATTTGAGGATAATGCACGCGCTGGTGGAAACGAAAAGGTAAACAGACACAGGACATTTGGTAGAAATAATTCCAGAGAGTGACCGACATAACTATCATATCTCGAAAGCCTAAACCTCCGGGAAATCGGTATTAAAAAATGCCGCCATATCCACGAAGTGAATGATGATGAGTGGGCGAAGCTCCAGAGGTAAACCTGGTAAACCATGAATCCTCCGTACATTTTGCCCACTCGATTTTATTGCAACGCTCCCCCTAGCGTACGTCGCCGCACTATATCGAACGATGACACGCGCCATATGTGGCATCATTCCTATTTTATAACACCTCGCATCCTTCATAATCAACTACACGTACCGCCGTCTAGTTTATAAGATCTTGCATCTTTTGGACGGACGGACGGACGGACGGATGGATGGATGGATGGATGGATGGATGAATGGATGGATGGATGGATGGATGGATGGATGGATGGATGGATGGATGGATGGATGGATGGATGGATGGATATGGCTGTACCCTTTAGATCGGGCGGTGGCTAGCGTAATACTTAGAACTGAACGAGAGGTGGCTACATACAGGGGACGCACAGCCCGCGCCTTAAGGAGCTTCGCTCCTAAAAGTTACTGAACGCGTCACCTTGAGTGAACAAGGTAAACACATAGAGCCCCCAGAACGTCGTTCAGCCGAAATAGAAGCGGGCTCTAGCCCAAAGTCTCGTTCCAAACACTTCCTCGCGATGATGAACGACCTCCATGCCTCGGTGTAGCTACAGAACAAGAAACGGCGTTACAACCACGACGCGAGAAGAGTGTCGTTTCATGTAATGAAAATAAATGCCACCGTCAAAATGGCTGCTAGTGCGAGAAATGAGAGAAGGAGACATGAAGAAAAAAAAAACTGCGTGCGAACTTCGAAGCTTAAATAAAAGATTGCAGGAGAGACGGTACACGACCTTTCAATTGGCCAAGGCAAGCACGAGGGCAAGCTGTTCCCACCAGAGCCGATTCGGTCACGCCGCGGATCACCAGTGCGCCTTGCCTGGCATGCTCCGCGGAACTTTCAGCGAATCGATTGTAAAATCTGGAAGCAAGTGACCGCCGATCCTGTTTTCCGATCGCAATATAAGCCGTGATCCCGACATGGCAGGTGCCAATCGATAAGCCGATGGAGCGCGACGCTGGCAGCCGGTTCGTAAACGAACAGAAAAATTTGAGAAAAAATGTGGAAGGAACGAGTACCGGGAAGGCGGAGTTGTACCTTTCTTTTTGTAGTCCCATGTCCCCGTGCGCTTTTTTATGTTTGTGCCCGTGTGTACATTTATGTGGATGATGCTCGCACTCAAACAAAAAAACGTTGGTAAATTGGTGTTTCCCAAACAGTGCAGCAGGGCACGACGTGTAGACAAAAAAAAAGTAAAACAGCCGCTTGGAGGGCACAAGCTTCCGTGGTCATTGGGTTCACTAGTACGCGCCATTGCTTTTGAACAGAACACGTGATAGCTTGTTCACAATTGTTCCCGAAGACTTACGCAATGCTATTCCTAATCGATATTTAATAAGTACCTAGCCCTATAAGGGGGCCCAAGAAGCAACGTAGTAAGTTCCGTAAAATTTTGCCGAGTTCATGCTGCTAAAATACCCCCCCCCCCAAAAAAAAAAAAACGCCACGCTGATATTCATTCACGTCTGGAGATTTAAGCAAGAAGTTTAAAAAACTTTGACCTTCATCTTCTCTTCCCCTATAAACCTACAATAGCGAAAATAAAAACAGCATAATTACCAAAGAATGATTTATCGGTCTAACTCGATTCACCGTCTAAGTTTAGTGCTCTTCTAAACACACGCCGGACAGAAGAAACGCGCGCCCGTCTCGGAGGTGATAAGGTGTAGAACGCAAGGCGACGGGTAGGTGCCACCACCGTGTCGTCTTAGTAAAGCGTTAGAAACACTTGCCTTTTCGTGCAAGCGTTGCTTGTTCAGCGCAACGTGATAAACGCTACGGTCAATTTCTAGTAATGGACACACATACAGAATATTGACGTGTCGTTATGGTGCCTCAGATATGCGCAATAATTGCTTTTTAATTGGCAATCGCACAAGTATGAACGCTGAATCTTGAGCAATATTGATGGGCGCTGCGGATGGGGTCGGCCATTTGGAGTATCGTTTGGCCACTTTGGTGCCGTTTAGGGTACCGTTAAGGGCAGACAAACAGACAAATGTACAAATAGCCAGACAAAAATTTTCGCATCGAAGGTCCCCAAGAAAGACTATCGTCTTTAAGATAACCTCCGCAGCCACGGATAGAAAAAAACCTACGCCGTATCTGCCAGTTTTCACGCGTGCAGAGCGGGTGTGATGAGTGACATGAATAACAACAAAGTTTCGCGACGTATCTGGCAGTAAACTATCCAGTTCGGACAGTAGATAACGCCACATAGCACCAACGAACCCTGTTTTAAGTGAAGAGCACGAACGCGAAGATAGGCTTAAACAAACGTTAGAGAAAAAACAAACAAAAAGAAACCACCGCCAGGCTTGCACGGAAGGCGCAGCACAGTCACAGAGAAAGCTAGAAGAGCGGCCTTTCACAGCCTTTTAGCAAACACTCATTGGGTAACGGCTGCGAGCACACTAGCTGAGTACCCGACTACTGCATTAATAAAGGTCACAGCTTTGACGCAAAGGCGAAGCCATGAACGCGATAGCAACAAATTGGAACGTAACGCGCAGAATGGCAAGCAGATCGAAAGGTGCCCCGCGTTTCCCACCCACAAATAAGGCACGAAACGTACTCACAGGTACAGATGAACGCGAATAAGTGCTCAGTTATTTCGCCGTGTCTGACAAGCGCGCCCTTTTCGCCAACCGAGACTATGCAACGATTGCAGTGACCTTCGCGCACCCGGTAACTACAACAGAATCATTCTGGTGAAATCGCGAAGCCAGCGAAGACGTACGATCCTCCCCACCGCGAGATAAGGGCACGCGAGCGAGCGTCCACCCTTCTCCTCTCAACGGGGAAAAGAACGCCTGGGAGACGAGAGCGGGCGCCGCCGCGTCGTGACGATGTGACGACGCGCGCTCATTACCCGTCTTGCTGGTAGTGCTGAAAACACGATAGTCCCCATGGATATGCCCGTCTACAGCGGTAAGTGGTAGATATAAATAGCTTGCCGTTTCAACGCTGAAGGAAGTGCTTCTCCTTGGCTCAGTGGTTAGTTAACGCCTGGCACTCTCGTTTTAAAGGGCCCAAGTTCATTCCGCGCACCGGAGTCTTTTTCTGGATTATTTTTTTTCTTTCTTGCGTTTTCATATATATATATATATATATATATATACGTATACATATACGGTGAGTGACGCCGGCGGCAGAATTCAGCGGATAGTGTCCATATAATTGTTATCGCGAAATAATTTCTGGGCAGTAGGCCGACATTCGCTATGCTATTTTTCATCACTCTTCTGAGAGGCGTGGTATCCGCAAAACAGTTGCAAGGCATTTTGTGCCAATTGTTCATGCAGTGGCTGTCGACGATGAGGAATTATACCTGAAGTGGGTATGCGCCACAGTTAATAGGTGATCAAGGACAACCGTTTGTAATGGGTTGGAGCATTTGACGACCCACTCGTTACGCTATTCGCATTGCGTGACGCCTCGTTGTTCTTTTGCTGTTCTAACCTGTCCTAAGGCAAGTTTGCGAACAAGTCCCAAGTACCAGCGTGGCTCAGTGGTAGAGTACTGGGCTAGCACGCAGCGGACCCGTGTTCGAGCCACGCTGTGTCCTTGGTACTAGTTTTTTTTTTTTCTATAGTGGTTACGAACACCGGCGGCGGCAGACGACTACGGCACCGCGCGTGACCAGAGTTGTGATCTCATAACAGCTCTCGCTGTAAAAAGAGCTAGCTGTGAATTCTACGAAGAAATTAATACGCCGTCTAACATGCTTCTACAGATATCGGGGTGAAATCAATTATATTAGTACAATGAACAATTTCCAAGTGTGACAACCCGACAACTTCCTTACAAGAAAAAAAAATTAAAATGTGAAAAGCTAGCCCTAGTGCTGCAAAACTATGAAGCGAACAGCCTAGCATCTGCCTAGCTTCTTCGGAATTTTCCCTAGTAGTAGGGTAATAAGTATGGCTTAGCTTGGCTATTATATTTTGGTTTATTCCTCACAGTACGAATGTCATATGCCGGCTTCGGCATTGGCAGGAGCCTGTGACACGACTTAGCTGTTACGGGGTTCTTGAGGCAACACTAAAAAATGGCAACGCATAAGGTTACAAAACAATAATAATAACGAAAGAAAAACTGTCAGGTCGCAACAGTAACAGGTTTTCAGAACAAAAAAATCTAACGAAAATATATTACTTGAAGAGTGTGAAAATGTCACCTCCAACGAACAGATATCGGAAGACCCTGGTGAAGTGAAATGTGACTCGAAAAAAGAAAAAAAACTGCCAATAAGTTAGGCAGACGTTTATATAAAGCTCGGCAAAGAGCGGCCTCAAAGTGCAAGACGATGAATGGAAACACGCGGCACATGGCTGTGCCACGTAGTGGATGCAACAGCCGCGGTTGGCGCGGGGAAAAAAAGAAAAAGAAATCGCGCTGCAATCAATCATCGGGTCTATAGGAAGTGACACACCCGTTACCTCCGAACAAGAAAGCGCCCTGAATTGAACGGATGCACAGCGAAGCGACAGGCACGTCACTCCGTGATCAACTACCAAAAAGCGTTGGGCCACGCAGAAGCTTGGCCTAGAATGTTTACAGGAAACATTCAGTGGCCTAAAGTAAGTTTACGGAACTCTGGCTACTCAGCAGCTACAGAACTTTCAATGCAAAGAAGCTTGCAAAGTTGTGCAAAACTTTTGACGGCAAGCAAATGAAAAAAATAATGACAGTACCACCCTAGTCGTGTCCCGTCAACACTCGCACAGCACTTGAAGGCTATAAGCATATATTTCGCATTAGTGCGCGCGACCGCACTTGCTAGCAGCGTATCCCCAAAAAATTTAAAAAAAGGGAGATGGTTCAACCCCCCTCCCTCCCCCCACACCCTCATGGTTACGCCAGCGGTACTTGCGTTTGTGGCGGAGCAGTCAGCGCGTCTGACTTCATTGGTCGTCAGTTGTGCAGTCGAAGGTTCGATGCCACGGCCGGATAACTTAGTGACATACTATTTTATAAAGCTACCAACGTTTCCTCTTACTGACGTCACTATCGTGACAGAAATGAGGTGCGGCAATTCTTGTTGGACCGTGGCATAAAACACTTTCGCGTTAAATAGCACACAAGGCCACCCCTGGGTTGGGCTTGAAGACAATTCTGATGGCCTAACAGTGTGTAACAGACATTAGTTAACGCTAACCAACAGATAGCCAGTGGTAGTTGTACGCTAGTAAGTACGTTAGTCTGTCCTTGTGGCCGAAATCCTTGTACAACAAGTTAAGATAACGGTAGTCTGGGTGCGCAGTAGAACATAAGTTTTAAATTACTACCATCGAACTGTGCTCGGCCGGCAAGCCCTTTATTCGAAATTACCAAGTTTTCACTAAAGCTGAGAAAAGTTAACAGCAGTCGAGAATACCCGATACTGCCTGTAATTATGTCCGCCCGTACGCACAACTTGACAGACGGACAGGCAGAGAGAAAGACCGACGGACAGACAGAGAAACAGAATCAGACACACAGCCGGACAAACGCTTCGCCCCACTTATCATCGTTCAGTCCATTGACATGGTGCTTTTTTTTTTTTTGCGGTTGGGTTAGGTTTAGGGCACGAGTTCTCGGCTCGCTTGCAAGTCGCGTTAGACAAGATAAAGTGACAGTGACACGCGTCCATTGGTCCAGCGACGGATCCGGATATATATATCACCGGGCGCAATTCCATGATAAAAAAATGTTTAATTTGCCGTCGAGAACACTTGCCTTTTTGTGCAAGCGTTGCTTGTTCAGCGCAACGTGATAAACGCTACGGTCCTATGTATTTTCTAATAAGAGACACACAATTGGCCATTGCAACGTGGTGGCAATTGCAACGTGGTGGGCAATTGCAACGTGGTGGGCAATTGCAACGTGGTGGCTGGCAACGCCGGCGTTCGTAGCTCGTCGAGCTCACTCGCGTGCAGAAGACACGGCATAGGGCCTAGATTTCAAGCTTTAGTTCCTAACCTGCCATAACCACTTTTCATAACTATATCTCCCGCGAAGCGTTGGTGGCTGCGATAAACGCTTTTTTTGTGCAGAAGTTACGTCGTCCCGCCTATAGGTATCCGCTGCGGTCCGCGGACCGATGGACGCGCCGCTTTACTTCTTAGCAGAGACCGGAGACGCAAACTGCAGGTGGCCAAAGTGGTCTCTATTTCTCAATGAAATTAGCACAAATAAGAAAATTTTGAGGCTGTTCGGGCATTTTAGCGCAGCGTGGCACAATTTCAGCAAATTTTATGGTTTTGGCGCCGCTCGGCGCAACAATGGAGAAACGGCGCAGTTGACGCTGCTGTTGGATATTGGATATACCTAAAGCCTTATTTTTCGCCAGCCTACTTTTCGAGCCTAAAATGCGCTTTCTTAAATGTCTAGAAATCCAGCCCCTTGTCATGACATAAATGTTAAAAAAATAGCAATGACATATTAGTGCCCCACTTCTAAGAGCTATGCTTCACCAATTAACCCGACAAAGATACCATTAACGTCTCAAAGCACTATACAGCGTCACCGGAAGTATTAGACTCTTGATATGCGCCGCAACTTGCGAGATCAGCCGCCGCGTGCCTCCACACCCGACGGCCACGAATCCTATACGCAATGCATTCCGTCAGTGTAGAAACATTCGATCACGTACGGAATCTACACAGCAGATACGGGATCTGCACAGCATACACGAGTGAGAAAAAAAAAAAAACTCACTCGTCTTGGCGGGTTCTCTTCTTCTGCAGAAGCGCTTGTAAAGCCTCGCGGTGCTTTAACTTCTCCTTCGGAATTCGTTCATTCGTGGCAGCTGCTTCGCGGTCTTCGTCGATTACCAGCGATGGGCCATCGGAATCTGAATCTGTCGAGATGAATTCGGGGGCCGCTTCGTTGGAGGCCGAACCCACGACCAGGAGTGGCGCTCCATAGTCGCCCTCTAGCGCTTTCTTGACGACAGTAACCCGAGAGTTGAGCATGGTGGTAGTCATGTCGGCAGGGATGCGCCAATAAGCTTCCTGAAATGTAATAAAAAATTATATATTTCATATCTATATATACAGCTTGATGGAATGTGTGAAACTAAAAGCGAAAAAGATTTGACTATAGTTCCACACCTTTTACAGACGCAGCAGCAGCAAGGATTTCACGCAGGATTCAATGGTCGCTTTATTACAAATACGTACATGCAATGAATCGTCACTATCGCGCCCGACAGTTTCTATTACGATGGACCTACGAAGGCAATGTCATAACAAAGCGAATGATCTGTCGATGTTGCAAAAAAGTTGTGGGGTTTGCCACAAAGCAACAACACAGGCTCACTTTCTAGTAGAGACGCCTAAGGAATCCTTACCGGGCATTCATTTCTAAGAGACTGGCAATGCGGCATCCTGACACCGTTGAACTTTCAGGGCGGGGAATTAAACTTCGACAAAATCGCAGTGCTCACATGGAGATGTACAATGCAGAATGCCTAGCAACTAAGACTGAACGGGACTTACCATACTACGTTAAAGACACTTCTCAGGTGACAAACTCTCACAGTTGCTTCTTTCTGAACACTGGCATCACTACACAGCAGCCATAAATGCTCGAATGCAGTTACTGGGCGACATACGTCTCACATGCCGTCCAATGCTCGTTACCCGTAGTATAGCAAGTCAGCGTGATTACAACAAATGAATCAGCATCTAACTGACGGTAAGACGTAATATATTTCCTTAACAAAAGTTGCTATGAGGGAGACTTCGGGTGATGAGAAAACAAAAGAAGGCATAGGGCCGAAGATAGGGCGCACCTGTTCGTCCGCAGGTGGCTGGATTCCCATTGTGCGAAGCAAGCTGCAGAAATCGCCGTTCTCCATTGACGAATGGTGCGCCTCAAGTATAGGAACCAGCGGCACGGAAGAAGGGTCTGCGTCGCAAGCACACATTTCAGAACAGGAGCTGCCACGAAACTAAAGGGGGCAGCGAAATCTTTTAGCACTGGCAGCTCTACACACAGAAGGCGCAGCACAGTAAAAAAGTAAAATGAAATAAAGACGGTAGTCCGGGACATGCAATTTGTGCATCTTCCGAGAAGATTAACGGACGTAGCGCAGAAATATACTTATACGAGGGCCGGTTCCAAAAATGAGGTCTGGAATTTTTAAAAAAAAAAAAAATGTCCTTAGAGATCCCGTAGAGGATGATGTGCACGTCCACACATATAGATGAAAAGGTACCGACGCCTCCAAACGTACCAAATTTAACGATTTACAAACGAAACTCCAAGTTATAGGCAAGGACAACGTTCAAATGAAGGATTCCGAATATTAATTGCTTTTACTCGCAATAGCATAAACAACGTCGCGGAAAACGAGGGCAAAAACAGCTGGTTAGGACAGTTTAAATATGTCCTAGCAACTGTACACGTGCTTTGGTATAACGGTGGTTGGGACAAAAAAGTGAAATAAAATGTTTACTTATCCAGTGCAGTGAAGATGATTCATGTACAGGAATCAGGCGTGCTTGCGAATTTCACGTACAAGACGCTCTCGCAGCAAAAAACATTTTTAATAATCGTTAACACGATAAAAGCTTCGCTCAGCGAAGATTGGAAACAAAAATAAGCGAGTTCATGGCAGCGATATTAATCTCTGTAGTACTTCAAACGAAATTCGCCGAATGTTAAACAGCTTCTCTGTGCAAGCCACAGCATAGCGTTCGCCATAATTAGTGCCACATTTCTAACGTCTCACATCACACAGAACGACACTTTTCTTAAACAAACGCACCTATTCAGCCAGTTCAATTCCTATATATATATATATATATATATATATATATATATATATATATATATATATATATATATATATGTGTGTGTGTGTGTGTGTGTGTGTGTAAAGTATAATAAGTGGAGAGACGCGCACCTTCCGGATCCCAATCCTCGAGTGCATCCTCCAGAGATGACAGCAGCCACTCCAAGCTCTCCTGGCAGCCTTGAATGTGGAATCAGAACGTGAATATCAATTAAAAATCTGGCAGATCCCTCCTTCCTATCGGTATAACAAGAAAGTGAAAATTGCCTTTTCTGAAGTAGCGCTTATTGAGTGGTGATTAAGAAAATTCGTTCAACGTACAATGGTTTTCGGCAGCTTTACCACAGTTCGACGCGGACGCACCCACGTTGAAGCCCAATGGCCTACCTCCATGGCGACGACTAGCGACGACTAGCGCTCGTGATAACAATTTAACCGTAGTGACAGCTGAAGTTATTAGCAGATACCCGGACAAAACGCATCATGAATGCTGCGCAAAGACGACATCAACAAGCACGCAAGAAACACTAGTACTATACATGCGCACGTTGAAAGCGTCGTCAATTAAGAAGAGAAACAGAATGGAAGGAGCTCACGAGTAATAGGACGAACTGTACGTCTGTGCTGATGCATACACTGCGCTTTCGGAACACGGGAGGCAAAGCTTAACCCGCGCACGCACGTAAACGTTCCACGTCCTGCTCGCCTGCCTCAACCCACGAAGGCACGACATTCACCAGTCGACATCGTCGCTTTTCCGCAGCGCTTTATTGCAGCAGTTTCATTTTTCTCACGCACTTGAAGTCGTCGGCGGTGAATCACCGTTCGTGCATGTTAAAGCTACACTTCTTTGACAGCGAGCCGTCACACACTTATACAGGCAGAGTAGAGAACAGCGTCGGCGACTCCCCTGTGCCAGCGCAGATAGTGCTTTTCGCTGCTGCACGTGGGGACGCTTTAGCGATGGCCTCCGAGATAGCGCACCGGCGCGCAATCTCGGCCGCCATGCTTTAACTATGTCGCCGACGAATCGTTCGTTATCGGCTTAGTAGATGTGATGCCGAATTTTCCCATTCACAGACCACGGCACTGTCCCACTGCGTCAACGGAGAGCACAAGCGAAAGAAAATGTGAGAGATAAAAGGCGCGTTTGTAAAGGGTAGTGTATATATCTCCCTCGATAGCTCGTAGCAATAATAAAAACAAGATAGCTCGAGAGCTCCGTCGGTAAAGCACCGGGCATCTGTCATTGTGGGCCAAGGCGTCGGAGGCGCGCTTCACAGAGGGGTGAATTTTACGCAGAAGTTTTTTTTTTTTGTTCTCGTTTGGTAACGTTCATTTTCTTATCAACGTCATATCAACGATGCAAATACGTCACGGATATGACGTATTTGGGATACGACATGACGATGGTGTCAGGACACCAAAGCCTTGGTGGGGCCCGGCATAAAACACTTTCGCGTTAAAAATTAGAAAAGCAGTTTGTTAGCTCCATTATGGAAGACCCGCTTACCTGTTTCCACCAGCTTGGAGAGAACAGTCCTTAGGGCTTCCGGTGACGTAGCCACTTCCGTTCGAGGCACGGTGCGAAACGTTGGCGCGTTCTTGGGAGGTCGGTTAGCAGCGTTCTTGGGTGCACGGCCGCCATTCTTTTGCTGCGCCGAGCGCACAGGGTCTTCGCCACTCTTGAACAAATCTTTGAACAAATGAAAAAAAAAGAAACACGAGAAGCAGGTCACAAATGAGATACAATACCGCTAGCCGTAGTAAACGTTGAGGCGGCTTCGCGAACGCTGAGCAGCTTCGCGAACGCTATATATATATATATATATATATATATATAGTCTAGTAGATCCTCCGTGAGCGGTCACAACGTGGTTTATTTCGACGTTTCGGCCTAGAGTCTGGCCTTCATCATATATATATATATATATATATATATATATATGGATGACAGAAGACAGCGCTTGTCTTCGTTTGTCCTTCTTTGTCCGTGTCTCTGAATGCGCTGGAAGCTATTATGGATGACTAAAGCTGTTGGCCAGGTTCAATCTACTTTTGTTGAGTCCGAGTACCAGCATATTAAGGTATACAAGCCGGTTTCAAACATTTATCAATGCACGTAGATTGATCAATCTGTGTAATGGCTGCATATTCGTTTCTTTGGAAGGACAGCAACTCCTCTAACCAGACGCAGTTCCGGAGAAATACCGGGTGAGATGTTTCAGGAATTTTCACTGACTTATCTTTTTTTTCATACATATTTGTAATATTCAAATAAAAAATAAGGCAAGAAACTCACTGGGTCTCTCTTGCGTGCGCCTACGAATGATCGAAATTAGTTGAGAGCCGTCTGGTGCGCGAGAAGTTCGAATATGAACTGCTGGTGTGTATTGATGTTAAAAAAAATGGCAGATCCCACGTACAGTGGGAATCGATGATATGCGAAGAACGAATGAGAAATGCTGATATGTCACTTTAAAATCACGAGGTGGAGGCACAACTTCACGAGGTGGAGGTAAATGATGCCGTACATGACTTCCATGCCATGATTATCATGTTTGGTTGTGTCGTTTAGCACTGCGTCTCCTTCTTTTCGTGACAGAGGGACGCCGGACACGCTGAAACGCACATGTGTCAAATCAACGCAGCGCGGAGCGCACCTACGAATATATGGCAGGACCGGAGCCTGGCATGGCAACACCGGCGTGACGCCACGAAATGAACGCCGGCGAGCATGCGCACCACGTCATGTCGAAATGTATTGGCACCTTGACTGTGGCATGTAGTCATGTCATCACATGACACGAATCTCATGATTACCATGTTTGCACCAGTCACATACCTTCGTCATCCATTGGCGTCACGTAATACCATATTTGGCATATGTGAAGCTAGCAATACGGCCGCGAGCACACCATCAGTGTGGCATGTAGTAATGTTGTTACATGACACGCATGTCGTGATTATAATGTTTGGATGCGCCTTTACCTATGTCGGCCGTTCGCGTTGCGTAATACCGAGTTTGGTACATGTGAAGGTAGCGAAACGGCCGCGAGCGCATCATGAGCGGAGCATGTAGTCATGTTCTTACATGACACGAATCTCATGTTTACCATGTTTGCACCAGTATCATATCTTCATCATCCATTTACGTCCCGTAATACCAAATTTTGTATAAGTGAAGCTAGCGGAACGGCCGCCAGCGCATCATGAGCGTGCCATGTAGTCATGTTGTTACATGACACGCATCAAATGATTATCATGTTTGCTCTAGTCAAATACCTTCGTCAGCCATTTACGTACTATAATACCGAATTTGGCATATGTGACGCAAGCGAGACAGCCGCGAGCGCATCATGAGCGTGGCATGTAGTCATGTTGTTACATGACACGCATGTCATGATTTTCATGTTAGGGTCTGTACCTCGTGTTCGCCGTGCAATCATGACATACGATACCAGTTTTGCAACATGCCATGTGAACGAAACCACCGCAAGAGCTGCAGGACCACGAAATGTAAATCATGACATTCATGACATACATGTCATGATTTTCATGTTATGACTAGTCAAATATGTTCTTCATGCAGTCATGTTATCTCATACCAAGTTTGGTATCGATACCTTAATCGGAACGGCCAGGAGAGATAAATGTCGTAGGCGGATAGATAGATAGATAGATAGATAGATAGATAGATAGATAGATAGATAGATAGATAGATAGATAGATAGATAGATAGATAGATAGATAGATAGATACGCTCTAATTTTGCTAAGAAATGCTTCGCATTAAAAAAAAACAGGCCTGCGTGGTAGGCGCAGCACAGTCATAGAGAAAGCTAGAAGAGCGGCCTTTCAGAGCCTTTTAAAAACACTTATTGGGTAACTACTGCTAGCACACTTGCTTGGTACGGTACCCACTAGGGCATTAGTAATAAACTTTAGGGTAGAGGCCCGCATTCGCTACGCTATTTTTCTTCATTCTTCTGAGAAGCATGGTATCCGCTAAACACTTGTAAAGAATTTTGTGCCAATTGCCCGTGCAGTGGCTGACGACGATAAGGAATTATAGCTGAGGTGGGTATGCGCCACAGTTAATAGGGGAACAAGAACAAGCTTTTGTGATGGTTTAGAGCATTGGATGGCCCACTCGTTATACTATTTGCATTGTGCGACTACTGGTTGTTGTTTCGCTGTTGTAAAACGCTTTACAAGTCGTTACGCGATTGCTTTCCCGACATCAAGCCTGCCTAAGGCAATTGTGACAAGTCACAAGCACCGGTGTAGCTCAGTGGTAGAATACTAGGGTGGCAACCAGCGGACCCGGGTTCGAGCCCAAGTGTGCCATTGGTGCTTCGCGAGATGTGGATACGGACACCGGCGGCGGCGAACAACAACAACAGCGCGTGACCCGAAAATTGATCTGGTAACAGCTTTCGCTGTAGAAGATTGGGCGCGCCAACAGTGCACAACACAGGAATTAATCTACTTGTGTCGTCTTGACGTCTCTTGTGACCTTGTTTGCACGCCAAATCATTTCATCAAGACACCATAACTCACCATCATTTTATGAACCTGCAAAGTACCCACGACGCGCCTGTGAAGAAATGGGTGCACCTACTAGCTCATAACTGTCTTGATGATGTGCCCAATGATTATGATGATGAATTATGGCTGATTCCTTTTTGACGAGTGGGCCGCTTTAAACCACTCATTAGATTCGGAGCTCACCTGGTGCGATGCCTGCAGCGCGGTTTTACGCTTCTGCCTCGCAGCTGAACCGTCTGCTTCCGTATAATTGATGGGGCATCAAATACCACGCGCGCTAAACATAAACAAGTCCCAAACATTTGCGAACGTACGCGAAAACTACGGCCTCCCTTAGATTGGCACCACCGTACGGAGATTTGGCGGAGTTTAATCTTCACAGCGGTATGCGCCCAGCGACGAGGAACAATATAAGCGGGGACCCTGGTTAAGAGGGCGAGATGCTATAAGCGCAAGCCGAGTCGCTCGTATACAGTGGTAGTCGTAAAACGAGATTACGCGTCATAACGGGCGCCATGGCCAACTTGTACTCTCTATATAGCCGCAACGCCCCTCCTCCCATGGCATATTGTGTCACCAACATAAGCGTACCAAAAGTTTTATTGAGGAAAACATCGTTAGCTTACAACAGATCAGAAAAAAAAGTATGTGACATATATATCAGGCCGTGGCACTTATATATCTCCTTATATAATGAAGTCTGCGCCGGAGTGCTAAGATGATATGGATAAACTTTAGAAGCAGCAAAACTCTAATTTCGGCGCATCTTGGAGCTAAGAGGCTCTCTCCGGGAATGCGCTACTCTGGACCCCGTCGAATTATGTCGTGTTGTCAAAATATCCGTCTTCACAATTCCGATTGGTGAGAGGGCCGGCACTTCCCCTGTGACTGGCTTAAAATTCCGCCATTAAAGAATCCGACAATACGGCTCCCTGTGACATTGCCCAGCATAGCACCCCAGGAGACTGATTCATTCTGAGACAAAGAGAGAGAGAGAGAAATAAAAAGAGTTTGTGTGAACCTTTCCAGCAATTTTTTACTTGCCGCGTACATGACTATTTTCATAAAGACACGTTAACTCTTTTTTTCGGTCCCTTGACGATCCGAAGAGAGCATGAGGCTCTCACCGGAGAGTTCACGTGTTTTTTTTTCTTTTTTCAAAGAAAGTCATACACGTGACACTAATACTCACAAAATGAATCAAAGCACTTTCTGTTGTGTTTTTTTCTTCTATTTAGACTTGTGTTTCTAAGGGTAGGCGAGAAGTTTGCTTATGAAGATTTCAGAGCTACACAATCAGCCTTTTCAACACAGCCTTGGGTCCGTCTTGTTCGCACGACCAGCTGTATCCGATTCGCGTTAAAAATGCACGCTATTTCTTTGCTGATGTTGCACTAAAGTACTGATTGAGCTTAAGCAAATTAGGTGTATGTTTACTGCAGTTCCTATACCATTGATTTGAGACGGTCATCGAGATTTCAAAAGCTTAGCTCCGCAGAGCAAAGCTAATGCCTAAGTTTCCTGAACATTACCTTTGTTGCAGTATAGACGAGAAATCGGCCAACGGTATGACATAGAACACGGAAGAGTTAGATTAATAGATCATGGTATTTAATGAAGCTCTAGTCGGTTTGCTATATACTTGCAAAACTTAGTTGAGCCCTAACTACAAAATGCGCGACACGTAGGTTACAGCGCCAGAAACTTGAATGCCTCAACAAAACGCCTATAGAAGGGTGAAAAATGAATGGCGGCGAGAGGTTGCGGCAAGGCTCGTTCTACGCGCACGAGTCCGACGCGTATAAAGAATGGTAGGCGACGCTTGATTAATGCTTCAACTCGGTCTATGTATATTAGTCTCGGGCTGCTTCCTTACAAAAGGAATGCATGGGCAAACCTAAATGGGATTTTCGTACGCTTCCTCTTATGTAAAGCGGACAGGAAAAACTAAGCTACACGGGTTGTTGAGGTCACCTTGTATACCGAGACTCGACCTTGAGAAGTATACGGTTAGTTGTGTGCAGCGTTTCGGCATTGCGACATCTCGATATTCCAGCGCAGCGCCTATACTGTATATATTTGTAGGACCACTTCGAACTCATTCAGCAATACGTAGATACAATACTCACGGATTGAAGCGCAACCA